CTCATAGCAGGGAACTCCTGCAGCATTGAAGGGCTTCTCTAGCACAGGGATAGGAGCGTTTCCAGAATTTAGAGTTGGGACCTTTGTATTTTTCTGTCCAAATCTCAGAATTCCCAAATTCACCCTAGTGTGCAGGGAAGCACAGGTCTCTCATTTCTTAACTTATGAAAAATCACAAAAGAGCTTATAGCTGAAGCATAAAATTCTTGTGACTACTCCTGGCACAAGAAGCAGTGGAAAGTGTGACACCATAACTTGGAGAGTGACCAAAACCCTGAGATCTCCTCTCAAAACTCCTTTGGCTGCATTAACACAAATGACACCCTGGAGTACATTGTCTTTCCAAAGTACTTGCAAGAAAGTTGCTGCAAGCCTCACTATCCCTTGGAGGCACTTGGTACTGGAAACTTCACCTTTGCATTCACATCTCTGGCAGGTGTGACTGAGAAGTGAAAGCGAGGAGATGCCTCCAGCCTGCTTTCTGCCTCCCTAGAAGCTATTCTCTTAAGGTTTAAATAAGAGAGCTAGTGTTTTTGCAGATCAGCATAACTGGGAGATGGTTTCATAAGCCTCAGCTTCATCCCACCCCATGCTTGATGAGAGGTGTTGTACAACTGTCTATCTGCAACCACAAAGATGCAGATATCTCTCCTTGCCTGGCCAGGGTGCAAGATGAGAGTCCAGTGAGCAGCTTAGTCTCTGGACCCTGGGAAGTGTGAACAGCTTGGCAGATTCTTCAGCAGGGCCTCAGTGCTCCCATCACTCCACACTCTGGAGATGCATGCTGGCAGCTGCAGGGGTCACAAGCCTGGAAGGTGAGGATAAATGGATGAAGCATGGTGAAAGCACACACAGATGAAGAATGAAACTGCATCCAGGACCACGTTAGCATTTACACTGCCTAGCTTACCCCTGGAGCCACTGGCCATTCAGTCATATTCAGACGCTTCTGCTCTAACATAGCCACGGTGCCAACAGTTGATTTTATTTTGCTTCAAGTTACTGGGAAGTAAAATGATTACAGACACTTTAGGGACCAAATCCTAATCCTGGTGGCTAAATCTAGCCTAGTGTATGATTTCTGAATATAATGCATATTATGTGGGTTATTGGTAAGGTCCTGTGTTGTCTTAATGTACCTCTTTTCCCAAGAGTTTTTTATTTAAACTGGCTTACTTATGAAAGATAAAGATAAAAACAAGAAGTACCCACTTTCACTGTCTGCTCTCCCCTTGGTGAGGCCAGGTTCTAATTTTCTCTCCAGTGACATATCAGAATTGGGACTTTGGGAGAGGAAGAACCGACTCCAGAACTGCATCCCGAGGCATCAGGAGGTGCACGCCTACACGGGGTGAAGCTGGTGCCGCTGGTCCAGCATGCAGGAGGCAGGCATGGGCACAATGAGGTGCTGGAGCCACAGGATGCCGAGGAGCCTGAAGAACCTGAAGATGCTGAACTCAGAGAGATGGAAGCTGCAGGACAGAGGGGTGTCACTCTCTGCTGTTAATCACACCTTTCTAGACTCTGCCCCTTGCAGGTGACTTTGCAGCCTCATGCCTTGGCTTCTGACTGAGAAACCACGTTCTCAAAGTCTTTCTCTGGGGCTCCACAACCCCAGTGTTTGCAGAGATTACTTTGGATTTTTGTTCCTTTTCTCAGGCAATGCAGGAAAATAAGATGGCTGCTGACTAAAGGGGACCTGGACTGCAGAGTTACAAGGGAAGAGTTGGGGCAAGTCAAGAGATAATGCTGACGTTAAAAGATAAAACAGATTTAATATCTTTCTGCACATAGAAAGCTGTATGGGTGAAGCAAGAGTTTGCAATAGCTGTTTAAAAGGGGATGAGCCAGCTGGGCATCCACATATTCAATAAAAAGAAAAGAAAAAAAAAAGAAAAAAAAAAAAAGGAGAGAAATTTATCCCAAAAGCTGAGCTTAGCTGATGCTATCCTCCAAAGTCCATGTCAGCCAGCCAGCCTGGCTGTCGGCAGTTGGGAGGTGTTGGGACAGCCTGACTACAAGACCCTGTTGGCAGACCTGCACAGGGCTAACAACTGATTTCTACCTGCAGACTCCAACAGGAGGCTGCAAAAATGACTCACAAAATCCAGTGACAAGTCTTGAGATAAGACCATGCACTGCTTTCCCAAGGCAACAATTCCATCATGTCTGTGGAGTGACACAACCCATGGTGGAGGGCCTGTTGAGGATGTGATTAAAGAGATAATTCTCCCTTCCTGTGCAGATGAGATCTAAGCATGGCTTAAGTAAATTACTGAGTGGCTTGTTGTAGTCCTGGCTAAACTCCCTTCTGCAACAGGGCCTGTTTCCTACATCCAATTTGCTTTGAAGCCCAGAGCATCACAACAGCAACTCAACGCCTACTTCTCTGTGCTTGTCTGACACCCCTTGTCTGGAAGACAGAATCCCTGGGTCTGGCTGTGGATGGCTCTGAGGCACAAGCTAAGCCCTGTCAGTTTTCCTGGTAAGTTTCTGATGTTCATTCCCTGAAAGCTCCCCACTCCTGACTCTGCTGGTCCATAGTTTGATCTTCAAGGAGCAGCTGACTGAAAGCCAGAAGCACTTTGCTCTCAGCTAAAAGCATTTTTAGCAGAAGCACACTTTATTCACAGCATGGCAGAGATGTGTGTGCAGGCCTCGAGGAGGGCAGCAACCCCAAAAGCCTTCTGGTTTCCACCCGTGCTGTTCTACCCCACTGAGTGTCTTTTGTCTCCTGATCTCTGCTCTGGAGAGGATCTCAACCCCTCCAGCTCCATCCCTGCATCTCCCTAACACAGACCGAGCTCTGCCCTTTGGCTTGGCATTTGTATGGGCCATTTTCCGATGGAGTTTAAAATCATTTCTGGCACCTTGTGATCTTTTACCCCATCTCTTGGTATTTTTTCCGTTCACACCCCAGGAAGGCTGGCCCAAGCAGCTTCCATCGTCCTGCCCTGCACAACCGTTCAGTCTTCAGCCTCTCGGGCATTGCCCAGTTCTTGCCATGAAGAGGAAGATTTAATCCTTTCTTGAAAGCTGTTCGTACTCAAGGTCTCAGAAGAGGAATGGGACCTGTAGATGTGAAAGAGACCCGCGCTGCCAAGCTGCCAGAACAAAGAACATGCTATAGTGTGGACTTAACAGTGGTGGTCCTTCACACAGGTTATTTCGAGGTTCAAAAGCCCCGCGATGCTGCCACAGCACCTCAAGTCCCCAGAAAAGAGGCAGAAACTTCGCTTCCTTGTCGTGAAACGGCTGCTGGGGACTCGGTGGAGCCGGCGTTGGCTGGGGAGCTGCCGCCACTCCTGTCCCCCCCTCCCACACCGCCGTCCCCGGCTCCGGGGTCCCGCCGCCCTCACCAGTGGTCGCGGGACCCGGGGCCGGGCCGGGCTGCGCCTATGGGGTCTCGGAGGCGTCCCGAGGCCGGAACGTTCCTCGCGCGGCCGAGCGTTCCGGGGGAAGAAGCGGCGCGCGGGACACCGGCGCCGCCATCATGGCGGCCTGAGGCGCGGCGGGCACGGCGGTGGGAGTCGCAGGCGGGAGGCCGCGAGCGGAGAGGTAACGCTGGGTGAGGGAGGAGCTTCTCGCTCGCCCGTCAGCGCACCGACCCCTTCTCTTCCCAGCTCCGCAGCCGCGTCTCGGCCCTGCCGGGCGAGCGGCGCCCCGAACCCTGAGAAACGAGCAGGCACCGGGGTGGCGGTGAGGGGCGAGGGGGCCCCGCGGCGGGATCCAGGGTAAATCACCCTCTCCGCTCGGTGGGGCACGACTCCTGGCCCCGTGGTGGGTGGGTCTGGGGAGCGGCCTCCGTGCCCTGCTGCCCGCCTGCCTGCCGCGGGGTCTGCGTTCCGTCTCATAACGGGGAAACCCCTTGGAAAGGCTGCAGCAAGGCGTGGCTAGGGGGAGAAGTCCGGCTGGTCACCGTGAATGGGTTGTTGGTAGCCCTTGGGCAAGCTCCATTGAAGTACGTTCCATTGGTAGTTCAGTCACTTCTCCGCAGGGTAGGTCGGCTGTGGAAAGAGCAGAGAGATGCTCCCGGCGTCACGCTGGTGCAGACAGGTTGCAATAGCAACGTGGGTGTCTGAACGTTAATTTGGAAAGGGGCAAAGAATTGGTATGTTTTCTAGCAGGGCATGGATAAACCTAGTCAGGCTTTTTGTAACCTCATACATCAGCATGTGCTTCGATTACTTGTGAGGGAGGACAATAGCTTAGGAACTGTGAAATCTGGATCTCATTCCCAGCTCAGTCAGTTCATCCACTCTCCTGAGAAAATTGTCCACTGTGTCTGTTCCTTCTCTGTGAGCAGGGAGAATAGTACTGATGTACCCTCAGATGCATTAGGAAGCCACATTGGGTGTTACTGTATTGCAGGGATTTCTCAGTCAAAACTGATGTGCTCTTCCGTCAGGCTGCACGTATGCCTCTGATGGAAAGAATCCTAAAGAGACTTTACACTGAGCGCTGAGAAATCTTTGTGTGGAGAGTACAGAAGATTGCCTGCCTAGGTTGAGACTGTTTGTACCTGCAGGTGTAATGGAATGGAGCAAAGGATATTTTTAGAAGTTGACTAATAAAGGAAGCTGGCTGTGTTGTCTTAATTTGTTAGGCATGGTGAAATGGTGCAAACAGCTGTGTGACTGTACAACCCCCACAAGGGCAGATGTGGTCCCAGTGGCCACACAGAACAAGATGGGTTCTCTGGTGCTTCTTTTATTTCCACAGAGTAAAGGTTACATGCTATACTGGATAATTATCTGAAGCACACATAACACAAAAAAGCCCTTATCTGTTCTTTGGTGCCTGAATAACATGCCTGGGAAGTTTTTTCTTAGTTGTTTGTAAGCAAACAACTTATTTTGTTGAACTTGTTAATAAAGAGTGTTTCATGTTTCAAAAGCAACATGTTGGTGCTGGGAAGCAACGGTGCACAGCAGAAAAGTCGGGCAGTGGCTGAAGACAAAGACCTCTCTTTATGGGGACTTTAAATAGAGCCTTTGTAGAAAGCGTATTTTTATCACTTAAGCTTTCCTGGTAACACAAAACACTTCAGCTGTACAGTGTAGACTGGTAAGCTACTTACAGGCCACAGATCTTTTTGCCTTTTAGACTTAGAAAGCCATAGGAATTGTGTGTGTACTCATATTTTATTCATAGCCAGTTTCAAAGGAAAAGGTGTGTGGTCATACAAGGTGGATTCATTCTGCACAGAGAATTAAATTAGTTGCTGTTTTGAAGCTGTGAATTAAGAAGGAGGATGTCGTATCTGGCCTCTAATGGACGTGATAGTAAACATCTTTGCAGCTGGCATTATTTGGCAGCATCAGTAGAAGGAAAAGACTGAAAACAGCATGGAATTTAAATTCCTTTCCAACTAGCAGGAGTAAATCCTTTTAGGGAACTGACCAGACAGTCTGCAGAAATTTTGCTCAGATATTGTATGAATCATTTTTGCTCCCCAGATAAATCATCAGTTGAACCTGATAGGTTCCTGACCTGGCCTCTGAATGCTGAAGAAAAACTTGGCTATGCTGACACGGAAACGTTACACATCTGATCCATGACCAGACAGAATTCAGCAGAGAAGTGAGGATGTGTTAATGCTATGTTCCTTTATTGACAGATTGAAAACCTAGAATGGCAGGAGAACAGAAGCCGTCCTGCAATCTTCTAGAGCAGTTTATTTTACTAGCAAAAGGTACAAGTGGCTCAGCTCTGACTGCTCTTATAAATCAAGTGCTGGAAGCTCCTGGGGTTTATGTCTTTGGAGAACTATTGGAGTTAACGAATGTGCAAGAGGTAAGAGATAAACATCTATCCTAATGCCCCTTCTGCACTCCTAGTGCAGATCCCCAGAAGTTTGCACAGACAGCCTTTGCGTGAAATTTCTGTGCCAGTAAGGCCCTGGTATGACTTACCTTGGTTCTGAGATGTTTGCATCTGAGAGATAGTGATTTTTTTTCCTGGATATATTAGATGTTTAAAAAATACCTATATAAAGCTTTGCTACTTTAATGCCATTGCTAATACAGCAAACACCAGGTAGTAGCACAGTAACAATTTTAAGGCACCTACCCAGCCAAAACAAAAATCCCCTTTCTACTCCTTCATTGTCCTGGAAATGACTTCAGTGCTCTCCAGAAGTCCTTGTGAACAGATGTTTAGTGTATCAGGCCTGGGTGGTAACCAAATCCAAGCCATTTCAAACCAAGGTGGAAAGAAAGCTACAGAGTTTTTACTGGGAATTCCTTGCCAGCACCCTCCTCTACTATAATGAGGGAATCTAGGTTGAGTATCTCTGCAGCTGGGGTAATGTGGTGTACAGCAAGTTTGGCTTTCCAAATAGGCTCTTGGATATGCTGAAAAATGCTTCTATGGTTATTTAGCATCAAATCGCAAGTACGTTTTTTTTTCCTGGATCCATTTGCAGCAAATGGATCTCAATAGCAGTCACTGCTTGGTGCTGCAGTTATTCCAGTGATGTGTTTGCATGCAAGAGGAGTGCTATTACTTTCAAATGCACTCAAAATGCTTAAGCTTGCTTTGCTTTGAAGTTTTTGTGGCTCTGCAGGCAAGCTGTCTTAGCTTTCCCAGTAATAAATGCTTAACCAACTGACACCATAGCTTGCTTGCTTGTTACATGATGAGAAGACCTGGCCATGTAGGTTGTCAGCTGAAATTAAGAGTCACCTTTTTCATTTTACCTCCTAAGGTGCTACACAAAGCAGTTGGCAGTCCAAACTGTAGTTAAGTTCTGGTGCATAGAAATGACTCGATCATCTTGACTCTTAAAACTGCTGAACTTTGCTGCTGCTCATGAGGCCTTAGAAAAGGCCAACTGTTTAAGATCATGACATAATTGCTTTTCTGTTTACTGATTGTTCTTTGTAGACTTAAAACATTCCCTGGTGAAAATACCTGTGAAAGGTTGTGTTGGCTGTTAACACGTTACATGGAATTTATTTTGTTTTCTTACCATCCAGCTTGCTGAAGGGTCTAATGCTGCTTATTTCCAGTTGCTGAACCTGTTCGCGTACGGAACATACCCAGATTATGTAGGTAAGAAACTGCTGCCTGTTTGCAGAGTGTGAGACTAGGTTGTCCTTTGCTTTCTGTGGTACGTGGCGTAGTGTGGCTGGGTGAAAGTGTCTAAGAGCAGAATTTGCTTGCAAGGAGAATTGTTCATAGAGGGTCTTTGGATCGTGTGTGCTTTTTAATTGCTAAAATGTGAAGGAAAGGCTAGAGACTACGGTGTTTTACTGGCTTGGATGGGACTGCAGCACTAGATTGAATTGGCCTGTAGCAGTATTCATTGTTCCCAGGCCACTTACCTCTGTGGAGTGCAATTTTAGACATCTGTTTTGAAATTTAGATGACACCAGTTACGGAAGCTGCAGAAAACTTAAGCAAAATTGTCCTGCATTATTCATAAAAACCTATATGGCTTTTGGGATAACCTTTTATTCTGTGACAGCATTTCTAAACAAAATGAAGAATTTCTTAGCTAGACTACAAATAGAAATAATGACTTTTATATGGCTTCAGAAGGACTATGTGTGAATCATCTTAGTATTTGTTGAGATGTGCTTTTATCTCTGGTGTTTATGCTTCTGTTCTGCTGCAATTTAATACTTCATTTGTGGGTAGCAGCCTTATCCAGACCATTACAGATTGTGACAAATAATTCTGTCATGGTGCTGCTTGTCACTGTGGTAGATGAGATCCCTAGTTCCAGTAAGGAGAAGTGGCATCTGTAAGTACAAGGACTGGAAATTCCAGTGGCTGTGGAGCAACACGAGCCTTATGAGTTCTGTGACTGGTTAGAGGATTGTTTGCTGTGTGTGGACCTTGTGTCCCAGCATGGGACAGCACAGTTTGTTCCTTTTCTAATGAAGAAACAGAAAGGGGGAAAAGTGGTCAAAATGAAGAGCATTGAATGAGGTGGGATGGGAGGGAGAAATTGAGTAGTCCTGAAACACTAATTTCCATTAAAGTGGATATTTTAAAGAGTTTCTTTGCTTTGGAAAGCTGCCAGTTTCCCTTCTGTTTTTAAATATTCATGAAGCATATGGCTATAATACAATGACAGTAAGGCCATCTAGATTAACAGTTTCTCCTCTCTTCCTCAGCCTGGTACTTTACACTTTCAACCCTAAATTCTTCAGTTTTTCAGAGAAATAAAACCAGCTGTATTTACAACCAGATCAGCAAAGGGGGAAGATTTTATTCTGTCAGCTTATTAATGAAACAAAAATTACTTGGTGGTAGAAACACAGCATTGACCAACTGTTTTGACAGAACAGTGCTTGTGTAGATGTGAATTACACTCTGATTCCAAAACCAGAATTACTAAAGAAGCAGAGAATGGAATTGCCAAATTGTTTTTTTAACTTTTCCTTCTCCTTGAGTGTGCTAATCTGTCAGCATCAGCTCTCTCTGCTCATCAGCACCCACAGTAGCTGGAAGAGTTTAGCTTTTCAGGGTTTAGTGTAACCATCCTGAAGTTCTGCAGCCTTGACTATATAATCCTTGAAGCCAGGTCCTGAATCTCATCTTTTTAACATTAACAGCAAACAAAGATAACCTACCTGAATTAACAGTGACTCAGAAAAACAAGCTGAAACACTTGACGATTGTAAGCCTGGCATCCAGAATGAAGGTAAAGTACACTGTTTATGATAAAGATGTGGTTTTGGTTTTGAAAATTACATTGATTCTTTAATATTGAAGTTGTATTGGACTTCATGAGTACACACAAAAAAATCCTGCAACTAGGAAGGTACCTGTAATGTGTAGTATTCTCTTGTGGTGCATTTGGGACATGGATTTAGTGGATTTCCATGGATGAGATGTGGGGGTATCAGAGCTTCCACACAAACTGGTCAGGTAGGGCTGGGAAACTTTGTATGGCTTCTTTAACAGCTGCAGTTGAAGAAACAGCAAACAGTGTTGCAAGGAATACTGAGTCTTGAGATTCTTAAAAACACTGACTTTTACTCTAGAGAAAACAAAGCAGCACTCTTAAAATCATCTACTTCTCATTTTTTCCTCCAGAATGTGTTATGCCAGAGCTTCAGAAATTACCAAAGTTGAGGCAGAATATCATGTAGCAGGTGTAGCAGGTGTTTGCTCTGCCACAATCAGTCAATGATGTACTTGCAGGTTAAAGTGTAGGATACAATAAACATTTGGGTCTTGACCTGACACTTAACTGTTCATTTTGGCTCTAGGGCTGTTAACTTATTCTTGGACTTGCTGTTTTTAGTGCATTCCCTATTCTGTATTGCTGAAGGATCTGGATATGAAAAATCTGAGGGAGTTGGAAGATCTGATTATTGAAGCGGTTTATACAGATATTATCCAGGGGAAGCTGGATCAGCGAAACCAGGTGCTAGAGGTGGACTTTTGTATCGGCAGAGACATTCAGAAGAAGGACATCAGTAACATTGTCAAAACACTCCAGGAATGGTGAGGCAGCCTCTCCACCTTCCTTGTTCTTGTACATAGCTTGTCTTGTTTTTTAATTGCCTCAAAGTTTCAAGTGCTGGCTCAATTTCACCATGTTCCATTAATCAGGACTTTTATGCTGTAAATAGGCAACATTGGAGGAGGAGTCTATAGGGCAAGTTTTCCAGGATCCCATCGAGGATTCCATTTGTCTTATGTATCAAGCCAGAGTGTACTAGGTCTTCAGATTCTGCTCTTAGCAGAGCTTTTACATGGCAGAACCCTAGCTAGGAGTCAGGCCTTTTCAAACAGACATGCCAAACTGGACTCATGGTCTTGTAAGTGGGAGCTACTCCCCTTTCTGCTGTTATACTCGGTAACAAAAACAGAACAGTCCATTACTTTTCAGCATTTTCACTGTGATGAGAACTGTATGGGCAAGTTCTAGAGAATCACAGCTCTTTTGAGGGGATGCCTCTTCAAGTTTGAAGTTTCAGATGCTTTTGTTTGCCTTCTTTTTGTTTCTGCAAATGCAGGCTACATGCAACCATACTGAGACTGTGGTACTATCTTTTTGTACCTTTGCCAGGAAGCTGCTTCTCTTCTTTTTGTAGGATTCCCTTCCCACCCAGAAAAATTCCCCCGTAGACTGTGGAGCCTGTGGCAGGTTCTGAGCTGGCTGGGAATTCCTTCCTAGTTGCTATGGTAATGAGTGCATGAAAAGTAATTAAACTTCTGGGCAAATACGTTGTCCTGAGGTTGGGGCAGGTTTTTTGCTTTTCTACTTCAACTCCCTCAATCCCTACATGGCAGGAGGGCTCTGGCAGCTTCCAGGCCCTTGCAGCATTGTTTGGAAGGTAACAATGAACCCACTGCCAATTTGCTTTCTGTCCTCTCCAGTTACAAGTTGTGTTGAATGCTTGCCTTTTGAACACTTAATAGGCAAGGGGGTTATCTTAATATGACTTTTTAATTTTAAAATTTTACTTCTGAAAAATGTTTTGCATCCCCATTTAAGCCATAATTCTGACTGAAAAGGAAGTTGAAAGTGCATTGAACCTGCACTTTTTGATGGTAAGAGTAACATGGACTCTGAAGAATACTGTGAAATACATTGAATAAGCAGTAAAGCTTTCTCTTGCCAGCTTTTATACCCCCTCTTTAAGCAGGGGGTATCAATTCAATAATCTCCTAAACTTCTAGGCAAGCATGATTTTTCAGATTGCCCAATTGAGCTGCTCCAAAGAGAACTCATAAACACTGATATTGTTTGTATCTTGCAGGTGTGATGGTTGTGAAGCGGTTCTTTTAGGAATTGAGCAGCAAGTACTTAGAGCCAACCAATACAAAGAGAACCATCACCGAACTCAACAGCAGGTAGAGATCGAGGTGGGTATAGAGTCACTTCAGACTGCTCTATGCTTTTGATAAATGTTTGTTTACTGAAGACAATAATCTGATAACACCTGGTTAATGTTCATGGCATCTCTGAAATAGGCTAGCAATCATGCAAATCAGATATGCTGGTTTGGGGTAGAGAGAAAACACGTCTGCTTCCATGTCCTGGTAACAACACAAATACCAAATTTGCCCACTTTTAGCAGGTTGGAACTTTTCTTTTAAAATTATTATAAGTTTAGGCTGGGTGACTGCACTAGCTATGGTTTCCTGAATTGCTTTATTAGGAAAAGTGTGCTTTTAACAGAGCTTTGATGCAATTCTGTTCCTTTTGTACAAGGCAGGAAGGAAGGAAGGAAAAACAGTTGTTTTAAACCTGAAAGTGTAATAAAAATCTCTCGAGTCTCACTGCTTTTGCAAAAATGTCCTCAGCACCTTGCTTTGGGGGATCAGGTTGAGCACTCAGACAGGGCTCTTTGGCGCACTCTTCAGCAGTGTGACCCAGGAGCTCTTTGCCTCTGTTCCATGCGCAACTAGGCGGTAGATGGCAGCACGGGCACGCGATTTTAGTCACTGCTGATGTGTATTTACTTGTGAGAACAAATCTTGGCTAATACAGCTGTAAAGGTGAAAATGGTCCTCCCGAGACACTTTCTCAGGCTTTATTTCTTGGAGAGTTGTATCCCTGCGGGTTTACATTTGCCTTCTGAAGCAGTATGTTTGGCGGCTTGACTGGCATCCATAGTGCATTTGGGTTGGCAGATGCCTTTGACCTGGAGCTGGCCAGCTGACTCCCAAACTTGTTTTGGCCCATGGTTTTTTTTTAAGCATTACTCGTTGTACTTCTGGTGAGCCCTACAGGGCTCCAGGGGACAGAATGTGGGGCCTGGTCCTGGATCTCTTCTTTTCAGCCAGAGTAACAGAAGCACTACTGCTGCTTCCCACTAGACCAATTCCTGTTCCTGCTTCTAGCAAATATCTGTAGCTCACACAGCCAGCTGGGCCAGATGGCATTTTCCCTTTTCAAGTGCTGTTCTATGTGTAAGTTTGGGTTTTTATTTCACAGTTTCCTTTGTCCTTCCTGTTTCTGGTGTGGTGAATGGCAGCATTCTACACCAAGGCAGTAGCAGGTTGCTCTGCCAGCCAGAAAGCTGGTACAATATTGTGCTGTTGTCTCTTAGGAAAAAAAAAAAAAGTAACCTCTAGTTATTCTGTATTGGACCCAGACTGGAAATATTAACAGCTCTGGCTGTGAGGATGAAACATTACCTTTAATAAACTCAAGTGCAGAGCGTATTTCTGGTGGGAGAGTTTATTTTATAAACTTCAGTCTGTACTCCAAGGATTTTTCAGTATGCTTATGAACAGAGTTTCTGCTGCCAGGGGAGGAAGAAGCAGGTGCTGATTCATTGTCTCTTCTTGGCCAGGTCACAAACATAAAGAAAACATTAAAAGCTACAGCCTCGTCGTCGGCACAGGAGATGGAACAGCAGCTGGTAGAGCGAGAGTGCCCTCCACACACAGAACAAAGGCAGCCCACAAAGAAGATATCCAAAGTCAAAGGGCTGGTTTCCAGCCGTCACTAGAACATACCATCTAAGTGTCATTCAGCTAGGAATGACAACAGGAGGAGCAAACAAGGGCCTGCGTCTCCTTTTTCAGTGGGTTCTGGGCCAGTCCTTTCCAGGCTGGCAAATAAAAGCTCTGCTTGAAACAGCTTCTAGTTAGCAGCACCTGGCTAAGTTACCCTGTACAGCCCCTATTAATTTTCAGGGTGTCCCTCTTCTGGTCCTGTAAAGAGGGACTTCTAAAGAAAGGGACTAACCAAAGGGGGCAGGACAGAAGAAAAAAAAAGTCTGTGGACAGTTTTGCTCCCTCCCAGCCAGTTTCATTGCTGCTTAACCTTGAGGAAGCTGCTGTACTAAATCAGGTCTTGGGAGAACTTCTGTAGGAAGTGTCTGAATCCCAGGGTTGAAGTGTGGCTGCCAAAGCCAGGCTGGGAGCAAGGAAGCCATCAACACAGATTTTTTCGTTCCCAGAGGGAGCTCAGAAAGGTTTCTAGGCCAGGAATTGCTTTACATGGAAGTCTTCAGCTTTTTCGCTACCCCTGTCTATTTTAAACTAGGGTGAAAGTCACACTACCTCACTCTGTGAAGATGAGATCTAGTGCTGGGCTGTTTACTTAACTGTCTGTTTACTGCCCTTACTAAGCCCTTTAATCTCTCACAGATTTATAGCACTGTTCTGCATCTCTGAGGCATCAATACAAGAAGCAGGAAGCAGGATGCTCTTTCAAGACTTCCTTATTGCAGGTGGTTAGGCGCATACTAGAAACTGTTTCTTCTGAATGTGATGTGACCTCCCAGAGCTGCTTGTGAGTTGTTTCCCCCACTGATACCTTCAGAGGGTAATGCATTTGCTCTTCTTGGATGCTAGCGACGCTAGTCTGCATGGGAGAAGAGCCTGTTTAGCATTGTGCCATGCTGGTGGCCTAGGACCCACTGGCAGGGGTCGCAGCAGCTGAAGCAATGGACTTGACTAGTTTTTCTGAATTTTGAACTCTTTCAGGTTGTATTTTCCTCCCTTTTTTTTTGTACATTGTTGTGATTTTAAAGCATTTCAGCTTTTGTTTTGTGTTTTTTATTTGTTACAGACTAACTTCAGGTGATTTGCACCTAGTTTGGCAAGGTGTGGGGTTTTTTTAAGGGTGAGGGTGGGGTTGGCATTGAAACAGCAATTCACAAAAAAGCACATTTTAGAAAAAAATTAAAAATGCTGATTTAATGTCAGAGTCTGGAGTTTTGGCTTTGAGGCTGCTTTAGGCTTGTAATCCAACAGCACTTGTTCACTTGAGCATTTACTTGATGTTACATTATCAGAAGGTCTGACTAATGTCCCTGATGAATCTTGGAGTCAGGGAAGTGCTCTTCCCATTTTGTCAGTAGTTCATCTTTGTCCAAATTTGTGCAGAAGGATCTGTAGCAAAGCCAGTAGCTGAGCCCAGAGTCCTGAGCCTAAACACCTTTAATTCCTGATTGTGGATGGTTTATATCTGTGCTCTGTCTTAGGCCAGTTGATACCTTCCTCTGGGTCTGGCAGAGGACTGCTTTGCAGTTTGGCCCCTGCATTTCACTGCATTCCATGCTGTAAAGAGAAGGGCTTCCTGTGAGTGGGCAGGGGAGCCGTTTAAGCAGAGGACTGTGACAGTGCTCCAGTCCTGCAGTCAGCTTTCACCTGCACTTGCTTGTGCCTTCTTGTTGCTACCAGACTTCTTTGCTGTCTGTGTGTTTTCAGTCCTCAGTCACGGGATCTGTTGTACACTTGGGAAAGTAAATTCCTCTCCTTTTCCTCTCCTGCAGTGCAGGCACACTAGCTTTTAATCTTGAGAGGTGGACCTAAATACCTCCTATCCAGCATCCTCTGGGTCAAGTTGCTTTGTTTCTGATTCTTTGCCAGCTCTCTCTCCCCTAGAAATGTTAGTCAGAAATTTGCCAGGGAAGAATGTTAAGTGAGTAAGGCCAGAGTAAGAAGCTTTCCCCTATATTTTCAGGGAACTGTTTCCCAAGCAGTGGCAGTACTAATTTCTGTACTAGCTTCTTGCAGTGTTTAGCTGACAGCTTCTCAGGAGGTGTAGGTGGACCTTGAGACTTTGTGTACCCAAGTCTAATAGATCTGTGTGATGGAGATGGACTGAGTCTGTTTCTGGCTTCCTGTGTGGACAGCTGCAGTGTACTGGTCATCCAGTTCCTCTCTGGATTTGAATAGTGAGGAGAGGTTCTGTAGTCCTCACTAGCTGTTCTCTTGCCTTCCCATTTTTAATATCAGTGCTGCAGAGAGGCAGGAGTAATACAATGCCTTTGGAAATCACATCAGCTCCTCGGCAAGCCACAGTCTGCTGAGGAGATAGATGTGAGTTTAGCATCCTTAGTGTTTATTCCCTGCCAGTTACAGGAGCCACTTTAGTTTGCCGAAACTTCTTTAGTGTGTTGGAAGTTTTCAAGTTTGTACGGTTTTGCTGTTCTCAAAGCCTGGCTGGAGGTGAAGAACTTATTTATGCTTCAGTACACACTGCCTTTGATCAGCAAAGAAGCAAGAGAGAAAATAGCACTTCGAATAAAGAGCTGTCCTATGTTTGATGGCAATAGAGGACAGAGAATTGAATGAGGTATTGGAGAGAACTGAGCTGTTTGCATGTTTGGCTTTCCTGGTGTGCCAACAACGCGCTTGGTGCTGCAAAAGGAGTGGGGGTGTCTTTGCAATGAGCCCAGTCTGAGATGAGTCATTAACAAATGACATGCAGAGAGTACCTGGGGGAGGCAAACAGCTCTGCAGCAGCTGGTTAATGAATCTGGCTTGAACGAAACAGTTAGAAGCTATTCCAGGAATCAAGCAGAAGGCATAGTTGTTAACAGAGAAGGATGCAGGAGGTGCTGTGCTGTTTGAAAAGGACAGCAGATAAAAGACTGCATTGCCCCCGTGACTTACAGGAAGTGCAGCAACTCAGAGCAGAGTTGTGTGAACTGGGTGCTGGTGAGGGCTGAATTGCAGACAGTTTTGAGTGGGGAGTGCCTAGGGAGCTTAATTATGCTGTAGGACAAGAGGGAGGTGGAAGCAGAGGTAGATTTAATGCAAATTCCCATGTATTGCATGCGTCTGCTGGAGGCAACAACCCAGCTTGTCTGTGCGCTGCTGGACACTGCTCCCTGATGTGGGCAGAGCATCTTGCCCTACTTTGTTTTACGGCAGCAGTGGGCCGCTCCAGCTGCAGCTCACTTCAATATTGGAGCAGGACAAAGCTTGAGCTATTGAACTTCTGTTTGCCTGCTCCACCCGGAGGGAGACAAAGTAGAAGGAGCTGCCTTCCCTCTGCTCTTCAGGGCTTTATAGTCTAGCTTCATGTTCCGCAGCTCCACTTGTACTAGTGCTTGTTTAATATGGAATTGAGCACTGAGCTGGAAAATGGAAGAGAGGATCTCAGCTGATTGCAGTGCTGGTAGACTGCCCTAGCCCTAAAAGCTGTGCCTCATGCTAACAAATGTCCCTGGCATTCCTGCTGTGACTCAGTTGATACCAGCTAACATCAGGCAATTCTGGAACACGATAAAGCAATGCTGATGTCAGTCTTTTTACAGAAAATAATAAAAAAGTTTTGGCTCCAAATCTATCCTTTACTTCCCTCCTCACCTTGTTTAATAAGAGGAATGTTAGCTTAGTCTTCCATTGAGAGCAGGAGGGAAAATCAGTGATGCTGATGTTCAGACTGGAGACGCATCCCGCAGTCAGCCTTGTGTAGTCTTCTGAAAATCCCATGGGTGCTTGTGGAGCTGCACGCAGGCTTGCAGCCCCTCTCCATGGCTCACATACAGGAGTAGGACCTGCAGAGCTGCTGTCCAAAGTGAGGCTGGGGAAGGGGAACCTTTGGTTCCCATAGAAGAGAGTGGTGGTAAGAGATGGCCATTTTCCCGCCAGCCCTGCAAAGTGAATTTTGCTGAACAGCGTTCTGTTGCTGGAGGAATGGAAAATTACACAAAACCCAGTGAGTGGTTTTGGTTTTAGTGTTCTGCTTATCCTGTGCGGGGGAAATGCATTGGTCCGTGTGCATAAAAAGGGAGCTGGGCTTACTCATTGCAGTGAAGGCAGAAGGGAGAGTGCCATGAATTTTGATAGCTGTATTGAAATGTAACAAATTGCATGGGTAAAACACACTTTTCCTAAACTTTGTTTGTACAGATTTATGCGAGTGCATCTAAGCTGTTTAGAGAGGCCTTTCATTTTGAGAACCATGTAAAGCTCATCTTCAGTCAAAGTGCAACAGTCAAAGCTGATGCATTTGTAGGTATGTTGGTGCTGCTGTTTGTCACTTCAGTGTCTGAGCCTGGTGCAGGCTTTGCAATGGAGAGAAACAAGGTTGCTGTTCATTCTGAGTAATGGGGAAGGGAGAAATGAAAGAATCTGCCCCACAGGTACCAGCTAGCCAGACCTCTGGCACCTAATCCCATACAGAGTTTTCTCCTGTGTTACCCACTGCCCCAAGTCCTGTATAGCAGTGATCTAATGCAAAGGAACTAAAACCCAAATCTGTCTATCTTATTTTTTGTGTAATCTGAGAGAAACCCAGATGCTTTGAGATAAGTAAAGTTTAGAGTGATCTCAGTTAGTACTTGTAACCTTAACCTTGTATTTTTTTAATGGAATTTTAATCTGACAGTCTGACTGAATTTCTCAGCAGAGTTTTTAGAAATAGGTCATTGTTTCACTCTGCTCCATGGTGAAGGTCGGTGTCTCTCAGGGACTGCTGACATTTTGCTGATATTTCATCAAGTTTGGCCCTACTGCAGAGGTACCAGAGGTAAGTGATTGAAGCTAGAGAGGTGTATAGTGAGGAGAATGCTTATTTACCCTCTAGGCTGAGCTGCACCCTGCTTCCTAGTGGCTCTGTGGTGGTACTTCCATCTTGTGAGATGCCCTGATATATTTGCTACAGGTTGCGAATTTCATGAGTGGGATAGCTGTGACCATGGCTTTTTCTTGTCAAGAAGGAGAGATGTCCCTGCTCTAGTGAATGAATATACGCACTGGAGATTCCAGACAGGAATGGGATGCCACAAGGTCATTTAACAGTCCTGAAATGTGTATTTCCCCACAGAGTGCAAAAGGCTCTGTGCAAGCAGTCCTTGCTTGGTGTAATTTTAGTAAAAGATAGGACACCTTTCCACAGGTCCGGGCCTCCTGAAGAGGCTCTGTGTTGTTAGGCATTTCTTTTAATGGTCGTGCACACATGATACCTCTGTTTCCAGAAGAGCTGATGGGGGTGGTAAGTGAAGCTGTGCTTCATCAGGGATAAGCCTTTTTGTGGGTATTTTGAGCTTGGCTGGCTGTAGGGCTGCAGCTTCATGGGTATGAAGTTTGGAAGTGATGCTGTCTTTCCCTCCAGACTCTTTCAGAAGATGCTGTTTTATCTCAGCCCTAATGTTTCAGTCACTGTCTTATGATTAGCAGTCCTAGGGCTGATTTGTGCTGATACAATAAGTAACATCTTGGTGTTTCATTGTCACCTTCACAGCTGTTAGAGAGCACCAGTTCCTACAGGATCAGCTGCCAGCTGTGATGCTATACCTTTTACATCACGACTGAGATGACACCTCTCCTTGCTGGCAGACAAGCCAGGTGGGTAGGCATTACTCCTCAGAGCTGTTCTTCACTTAAGGAGGCGCAGACTATTGCCTGGGTTAGCATAATGGAAATTTAAGGACAAGGGCAGTGATGTAAATAAGGGGCAAAGCAGAGAGCTGTGTCCTATCCCAGCTCTCCTACAGCTGCAGAAAGCAACCTTGAGCACATCAGCTCCTCCGCAGATGCATTTCCCAGGACAACCTCTCACTTGTGTGATGACTTTGTGGCAGAGGTTTATAGAGTGCTTTGCTCTCCTGGTGGGGCAGAGGTTCATTGTTGATGGAATTGAAGATGTGTGTGTATGAGTGAGGGGGGTTCTCAAAGCTTCTAAGCTTTAAGAAGTCATCTTCCTCCTATGTACCATACCCTTCTTTTCCCCTGATGAAGCTGAAGTGGTCCACCATGGGACTATCAGCTTGCAGTATTATGGGTAATATGCCAGGTTAATTATGCAGGGGGCAGGAAAAATAGCCTGTGTCTTTCAACAATATCAAAGGGATGCTACTTAATGATTTTCCTATTAGCTCTTTTCCCAGCCTGCCAGAGTCACTGCAGAAGTGTCATTTACAAAAGCAGTTTGCAACTCATTACCCTGGATTTTCACTGTAGTTCTGCTCCAGAGAGCATGGGCTTTTGCTATGTGCCCCAGCCTAATGAATTGCCTGGTTTGGTTAGTGCTGCCATCCCTTCTGACAAGGGTGGTTGCTGACTGACAGGAGTGGGCCCGAGTTCAATTCCCTTCTTGTTTTTGACTTGTGCTTGTGTCAAGCACAGGCTCCCTCTGGAAGCTGCCTTGTGATTCCTTCTCTTTGTTTTTCTACATTCTGCAGGAAGCAGCCTATGCTTGGAGAAGTCCTAGAGCAAGTGACAGGGGCATGTGTGCCCTTTCCAGCTGGAAAATTCCACTGCTGTCCTGCTCTGAGCTTTTCTTCATTGGTTTGGGATTTGCTGTCACCTGAGCTGGGCTTTGCAACCCTTCAGCAATAAATACCTTGGAAAAGTTGCACTAATGGTACCAAGGAAACACATGCAGTGTGGCCTGGGGGAAGAGAACTGATTTCCCACACGTTTGCGGGCCTCTGTGTCCCTGTTGTGGGAGCTCTAAGGTCTGCTCCTGCTTGTTTGGGCTTTGCATGGCACTTGTTAGAACAGTGCTAGAGAAAGCTCTTAGCCTGTTTAACTAGAGAGCAGTGTGCTTTTTCAGGCTGGAGGTCTATGGCTCATCTAGTGCTAGGAATAGCTCCTGGAAAGGGGAAACTGGGGCTGTCCCTGGGTCATGTCACAGGTACTCCCACTTTGAAGCTGAATGTGGCTACTGCTTATTCAGGTGGTAGTGCAGGAAATGTGTAGGTCCCATGGGTGTTAGTTTGACCTGAGTGTGAACAGAGGAGCCTGGGACTCTTGCCACCATTGCTTCCAGGTGCATGTAAACACCTCTGCTAAATGCAGAGCTTGCTGTGGAGATGTCACATGCCAGCCCCCTGAGGTTGCAGCTTGCATCCAGGACTGCTCTTCCTGTTCAGTTATGCTGTCTCTGGGCTGGGATGTGGCAAGGGAGTTTCCCAGTGCTAGCCCTGGATCCTTTTACTGGATGTCATGAGAGTTTGACCTAGCTGGCCCACAAGGGAGGCAGTGATGTGAGATCAGTTTGTTTCTGCTGCATGTGATGCCTTCTCCCCTCTTAATTATATTCTTGTGGCCCCTATTTCCTGCTGGCCTTGTTTCCTACTGAGCCCCTGTCTGGAGACCCAATTGTGACCTTATCAGATGCTTGCTGTGCTCTAAAGAGCTGTTTCTGTTTCCCGTTCTGGCCTATCTTCTAAACTGAGGAAGGTGCTTGTCAGTGCTCTGAAAACTGACAAGTGTTCTCAGTGTCACTCTGCCTGTCAAACACACCAGTCTGGCTGTGCCATATGGGTGCTACAATTGAATGGATCCAAAAGTTTTCCCAAGTGCTCTTTCACCAGAGCGCTGCCTTCTCTCTTGCACATCAGCCCACACCCTTGTGTGGGCACGGTGTTCCTGTCCTACAGGTGGGAAACCAGCATGCTGAGTGAGGGTGACTTACGCTGCTCAGAGTGGAAGCAGCGAAGTGAGGAGCCAAACTGTTACCCGCTCCCTCTGCACAGAGAACTCTCACTCTGATCACTCTCCTGCCAAACTAGTGTCCTTTTGCAGTGCAGCTTTGTTCTTTTCCTTGGGCTTGCTCTTTTCCAGGAAGCCCAGTTGATGGAAGGATTCTGCTGTGGGATTATGCTGCAGAGGAGTAACAGCGATCCAGACTGTATGTGACCCCAGGCTGCGATCGCTGGGATATCCCCCAGCCTGATCTCAAGTTGTGCCTCACTTAGGAGGTCAGATTTTGTGGATTGAATTCCTGAGTCTTGTTCTGTTGAGGAGAGGCCTTCTGTCACCAGGCAGATGGTTTCATTCCAGCTCTGGCTTTGCAGCAGACACAGAACTGGAAGGGGGATTGGCCTCCCCCTTGTTCCCAGCCTGGTACCTGTTGTGGTCACTCCTCTGGCTCCATGCTCAAGAACCAGGACCCTGAGGGGGACCTGCAGTAACACCACTGTTCAGACCTGGTGTGCAAGGTCTGCACAGTATGTGAATACTTATTGTCCTGTAGGTTTGCAGGGTAACAGTGGACAGTCCCTTCTGATGGGCATCTGTTCATGAGCTCCTGTTACAGCCCCTTCCCTTAGAAGATAGGTGGAGCAAGTAGGGGGACCTTCACAAGTGTTGTATTTGCCTTGCAGAGCCTCGACAGAGGGTTGTCATTACCTACCAGCATCTCTGGAAGGCTCTAGCTGACTCTCAGGCAGGGCACTGAGCTGCCAGCTGCCTTTCCTGCCTCCCTCCTTCCTGGGGCCTTGATCTTGTTCCCCATAGGCAACATCATAGGCTGCTGCTCCCCATCCAGCTGGACTCTGGGCACCAGAGGTGGGTACTTGTTTCTGACAGACGCTTTTGTTGCACGAGGCTAGAAACGTCATGTGTGTGCGTCTAACCTGATGATTGAGCTGTCGGGTGTCTGGATCAATCCTCTTGTTCTCTAAACCTAATGTTCTCTAATAGTTGGGGAGAGTCTGGCTGGAGGTTTCTATGGTTTCCTGGTGGTTGCTAAGGGAAAGGATCTCTCTGCCTCTAGGTCTTGGTGACTTTCTTTTTGCCCTGTCCTAGGCGCTGGAGCCCAGCAGAACATAATGCTCGTTGTTTCACAGCCCATTACAATGGTCAGGATGCAATTTGGGACTCCTGTCACGGCTGAGCTGGGCACCTGCCACTCTTTTATTTTTAATCTCTATGGCCTCTTTGAAGAATGAGACCACAGAGCCTTCATGCAGGAGTTTGTGCTTTTGCTGTGCTCCCAACCCCCTCGCTTGCTGTTTCCTTTAGAGCTCTGAGTAATTTTTACAATTTATTTCATGCACTTTACGTAGCAAGAAGCTGTAGCAACAGCTGGGTCCGTGAATCCTTACCAGGCAGTCCTCAGTGTATTTTGGTCTATGTATTGTCCCAGGCACAGTTAAATAAATTTGTGTGGGCAGAAGGGACTTTACGAAGGTTTGGTGAGTGGGAATATCAACAAGATACTTAGCGAGCTGCTGGATTCTAGAATAACAGTGCCTTGGGCATAAAGCTCTATTCCCACTAGCACAACTGGGGGCCAGATCCAACATGGTCTCTTTGTTGTTGTCAGCAGGGGCCGCATCTCCATGCGGTGCCCAGTCATAAAGCGATGGTTACAAGATGAAATTTGGACCCAAACCTGCAGACTGGAAGTGGTTAAAACATGTCTAGGCCAAACGCTGCTCTTGTCACACTGCTGAAAATCCGGTTCCAGGCTGTTGAACACGGAGGGCTTATATCCAGGGGTGCCATTCAGGATGTGGGCACAGATGAGCTGCCTGAGGCCATGTGCTCTTGTAGGGAGCTTGGCTGGGTTTTCAGAGGCTGATGGCTGTGCAGCGCCAGGCAGGATTCGGTCCATCAGTGCATCACAGGATTGGGCGCAAGTTTACTTTTGCATATGGAATCAAAGCTTAAAATATTAGCTGGCCTTCCTCTCACTCCTGACTTTCCTAAAACATCTGAACAATTTCTTTTTTAACTCAGTTGAAATCAATCAATCTGACATTTAAATTGTACGTGAATTTGATAAATAAAGACAGGTTACAAAATGCCTCATGGAATGATTTTTTTTTTAAGTTTTTCAACTACTTTTAGGACAAAAAAATGTTACAATGCTTGACTTTTCATTTAGTTACATAAATAATTTCTTATAAATATCTCTTTATAAACAATATATAAATAGCTTTACAACATAAATACATTTATGCATGACATGAATTTACAAACAGCAATGTTATACAGCTGGCTTCATCAGTCTCTTGGAAAAGCGCTGTCCCTTGTCTTGGTGAGTGTTTGTATATATAATATATATAAGATAGAGAGCACTTTTTAAAAAATAACAAAACCAAAACAGCTGGTGCCATGACTCCTCGTACCAAAAAGAAAAACACAGACACATCTTTTGTCCATTCCGGGGGGGTCTCTGCTCTTCTAGGTGTTGCCTGGGGGATGGTTGTGCCTGGCCATGATAGGAGAAAATGGACTTACGAATTCAAAGCCCTGTGAAGAATGAGACCAAAGTGCCTGTTAGTTACTTGCCATACAACACCCCTTACCTGACCCAAGCTGAAACCCCTGTGACAATAATCCTGGCATGGGATGGAGGGTACTGAAGTCAGCAGAAGCCCCCTCTGAGTTTTTTTGCTCATGCTAAAGCAAGGAAGCAGCTCACCCTTTGCTTTCTGATTGTTTGGTATTTAGGAGAGAGGCCAAGGGGAGCATGCTGCTCTTCCAAGCCCTACCTGGGTCTAGCAGAAATCTTTTTTTCTCCTGATGAGAACTTAACAGGAAAGGACGCCTGTGAGCTGGCCGCACAGCATGTGTGCTTCTGGGTGACTCCTTGGGAGTACTGAAAGGCCACTACTCAAGGGAGCAGAGGAGCAGCACCCATCCCTCCAGGCAGGACTATGGACCAGTGCTAGTGTCCTGTGGGCACTGTTGGGCCTGGCTCTTCCCATTGTCATGAGAGCAGCAGGATGCCTGAATCTGGTCCCCTCCATGCCTGATTATATTAGTGTGGGGCCAAGGCAGGTCCCTGTGAGCGGGGCAGAGCAGTGTCATGGGAAGAAGAGTGAGTGGCCGGGACTGCAATGGGCAAGCACTTCCGCAGGTGTGAGTCCATCTGCATGTGACCTGTTGGCAGGGACACGGCCAGATTGGTGCCTCACTTCCCTCCAGCACCCCTGGGGAGACTTGGCAAGGGAGGAGCTGCCATGTTTCCCCCAGAATCATCGGGGCGCAGGGGGGGGAACGACACGCTTCTCTTGCCCATCAGTTCTCTGAGCACAGCAGCTGCGGAGTGCTGTGAGAACAACTTCTTCCAGCTTCCTGTAACTTGCTCAGCTGCAAGGCCTGACTTAAGAAAGAGCTATCTTTGGTTTTCACCACAACTAGGAGGCACTTGGGGAACTTGTGTATTGCTTTTCCTTCAATTTAAAGGACTGCAGTATAGCCGAGACAGGTGCCTAATTCTCCCATTACAGGCACTTTAGGAGGTACCCAGTCCTCCTAACATGTCCATAGGTCACCTGTGTGTGTGTGTCAAGCATAGGGGAACACACCGCATCCTTTCCTGAGCCTACGGGTCTGGCTCCCACATGTGCGCATCTACCCTGAGCTGCTGCGGCAGAGGTGGGTCAAGGCTGGGGTCTCTGCTCCTCCCACAGAGGCAGCGGGAGGGTTGTGAAGTGAGGGGAAGTGCAACTAAGGCCAACTGTGGGCTCCTCCTCTTTACCCACCAGCAGCTCCGGGGTGTGCAGGTATCTCACCGCTCTTAACGCCCTGCAGTCCCGCCCGCCGGCATCTCGCGTATGGGGAAGGGAGCCCAGCGCATGCCCCCCAGCGCCCCGCGGCCGCCCGGTGCCGGAGCGAGCCCGCCGCGCACTCACCGCCAGGGGTCCCTCAGCAACCGAGGCCGCTCATGGCGCCGATGCGGTCCAGCTTGAGGCCGAAACAGCCCTTGCCCAGGCCTTTCTTGTGCAGGCCCTTGTGCCGGCGGCCCGGCGGGTCCTGCAGCAGCCGCGCCCAGCCCGCCCGCGGCCGAGCCTCGCCCCGCGCCTCCCGCGCCTCCCGTGGGCCCGAGCCGCCGCCGCCGCTGCGCTCCTTGTCCCGCTCCTTGTCCCGCTCCGCCGCCGCCGCCTCGGGCGGACCCGCTGCCGCCGCCGCCGAGCCGCGGGAGGCCTGGGGGGGGGGGGTAGAGGGTCAGCGAGCCCCCGCCTTTCTGCAAGTTCCCCCCCCCCCCGCATCAGAGTTGGGGACCCAACAACCTTGCCCAGGGCATTCTCCCCGCTCCCCAAGTCCGTGCTCCCTGCCCTGGGGTCAGAGCATCCCCCGATCCCACACCATAGCGGTGTCTTCCCGACCCCCCGACGCTGCCCTGATCACTGCATACACCCCTGGCTGAGGTCACCACATCCTCCCAGAAGGGCTGGTGCTGCTGCACCCCGCAGCTGTGCTGCTGTCACTGCACCCCCCCAGCTCCCCAGTAACCTGAAGGGGCCTGGAAGCTACCAGGGGAAGCAAGGACCCTGCAGTGGGGGGTATATGTGACCCAGTGCGGTCACTGCGACCCCTGCCAGCTTTCAGGTCCCTTCAGATTATTGGGGGGGTGTGTTCCTGCCCCCATCCCAGCTCCGGGGGAGTGACACTACTCCTCACAGCCCTCCCGGCACCCCTGCCTTGCAGAGTATCCCCTGCATTGATGCTGCACCCTCCCATACTTAACACTCTCTGAGTACCCCCACTCCTCCAGTTCTGACCCACAATCACGGGGGAACACCCCCTTTCTTACTGCCCCCTCCCAGTTCCCAAGCCCTCCCTCTTCTCTCTTCCTGCATGGGGCTGCTGCTCATCAAGCAGTGGGGTTCCTCACTGACTCCCCCATACCACCTCTCTCTCTGCAGCTTGTACCCAGTTCCTTACAGGGACACAGCCAGTCCTGTCCTACCACTGTCCTGAGGCACCCCTCCCTTCGTGTCACTGTCTTTGTGCCCAGCCCACCCAGTGTTGGCAGCCTCTGGTGCATCCCCCCTCCTCAGCATCGCAGGACCCCAGCTCCCCGGGACACCCCCATTTGGCCACCCCTTCCCTGCGGGCTGCACCCACCTGTCCCATTTGGGGAGGGCTCTGGCTTCGCACTCTGCCCACCCTGCACCTGCTGTCCATTCTGCTCCCCTGTGGGTCTGATCCCCTTCCCCCGTGCCTGGCACCTAGGGGGTCCCAGGGTGAGTGACACTGGGGACGGGACTGCAACCCTCCCCGGCCCTGATCCCGCAAGATCTGGGGCACACACAGGGCATCACCCTCCAGCCCCTGGTTTGGAGCTGACGTCTCCGGGACACGCGCACTTGGGACAAGCTGGAGAAGCTGGAGCTTCCCTACCAGTCAAAAAGCTTAAATGGTGAAGGAGGACCCCGCTTTGCACTGACAGCAGCCCCAAAGTCACCCCACATGTCCCCCTGTGCCATTAGCACCCTCAGCGGGACGGGGAGAAGAGGGAGCGCCGGGGTGCTCCTCCGGCCGTACCTTCTGTGGGAGCTGAGACGCCGGCTTCGCCTCCAGCCTGACGGAGAGCAGAGCGAGTAAAAGTCCACCAGCCAGCAAGGGTGAGATCTGCATCCTGCGAGGCCGAGCGAGAGGGGGCCGGGGGAGGGGAGGAGGGCAGCTGCGAGCCAAGGGGAGCCCCCGGGAGAGGCCGGGACCGACGGGAGTCAAAGTTCAGAGCGGAGCCCCGAGGTCCCTCCTGCCGCCTGCGAAGTGCCGAGCTAGTGAACTTGGGCTTTCTGCTTCATTCATTTTATAACCCAACCTGCTTGGTGATGTCATCTAAACAACCAGGTCCAACCCGGCCTCCCACTCCACAATAGCAGGAATTTAAAGGGGGGGTGGGGGGTGGGTGTCCCCTGTCCCCTGGCAGGAATAAATGACACATCAGCTGAAGGCAACTGGCTCAGGGAGTTGGAGAGCAGAAAGGGGAAGTGGGGGACATTTGGTGTCACACCCCCCCCCACCCCCCACCCCTGGACCCCCCTGCAAGCTTTCTGTTCACCCCTTGCCTGGCTGTCCCCAGCCCTTCAACTCCCCCCCACTTCCCTGGTGACCCCCTGCGGAAGAACACGGGCCAGCCTGGGGCAGCTGTCACAGGTTGGGGGGAGGAGCCCGGGGTGGGGGGTTAAGCCCATACGAAAGTAATGGGTGCAAAAAGCACTTTTTTTTCCACATCCAGGGTTAGATCGGAACCTGCTTGTCCCGCAGCTTCCCCCACAGGTCCCTGCTCGGCAGGAGGGGACACACTGCTCTCCCTGGCAGGGATGCTGAGGGCACCTGGGGACACAGGGGTATGCAGGGGGCAGTGCCACTGCTTGAGAGCACCATGGGTCCATGGGCTTGGCGGGGATGATCTGCTCTCTCTACCCTCCCTGCGGAGGCTGGTCGTCTCCCTGGTTCCAGGGATGGAGCTTATAATACACCCTGGAGATGTCCTCTGCAGGGCACAGGGTCCCTCCTGGGGACAGGACCCCAAGGGCTGACCCAACACAGGGCTGTGCAACCTGGCCTCCTCCAGCCTGCTCTCAGAGCTGGAGGGTGTGGGAGAAGGATGTAATCCTGGAATTAACCCCAGGGGCTTGCAGGAGCTCTGGGGACAAAAGGGGGGGGGGGGGGAGACGGACTCCCCCCTGCACTCACCTTTCCCCTTCAGGAGTTGGAAGAGCATAATTTGCATTGCTATTGCTGGTGTGCCTGGCACAGGCAGCTCTGGGGCTCCCGTTGCTTTTTGCTGTTGGAGCTGGGCACCATCCCTGGTATCTTGGCTGGGGGGCGGATGCTCGTAGTGGGATCAGGCCAGAGGAAAGACACCCTCCTCTGCAGAAGCATGCAATGCTGGTTTGCACCAGGCTGGAATTGCACCCCAAATCCCTTCCCTGGGACCAGGGAAACATTCTCTGGTCTTTCCCCTCTCCCTGGGGTCAGCTTCAGGCTGTTCCTTTCTTCCTCTTGCTCCTTTTCTTGGTCTTTCTGGGCTGTTCTGCTCCCCAGACCTAACCCTCGGAGCT